TGGCTGTCAGCCGCACTCTGGCCAGGATGGAGAACACACATGAAATTGGAGACTAATTGCCTCTTATTCCACATTCTGGTGAGGCCACAGTCCACCGACCATCAATTCTGACAAAGATGTAAGTTTCTCTGTCGTGCATTCACCAAGCAGACAGAGCTCCCTCTTTGAGAGGCTGATGCGGAACCATCAGGTAATCTGCTAACTACAAACTTGCATGGTTTAATTAAAGTCTATTGTACATATTAAGCAAGGATGGTCAGATGGCTTCTAAATTCACAAGCATATTTCCAGGTGATTTCATATTTACTGGCACATAAAAGCTGCCATTTTCCAAATAACAAATAAGTCATCAAATGATCATATTGCTTTGTGTCTCCAGCCACAATTAACAATAATATACAACCACCTTTTACACCACTGCCAAAAAGTAATCTCCACGATAACAGAAGGAGGCTCAATTTTACAGAGCATCTATTGTCTCAGGCAAAGTGAATTTCTCCCCCCTCTGATTTTCTATTTCCCTGTAAACCAGACTATGTTTTACTTTCTTCTCACAAGTGCAGACTCACCACCTGCTCCTCCTGGCAGACTTCTTAACCAAAATAAAAACCCTGGGCCTAGAGAACATCCTCAAATCAAGCTGATTTTTATTTATCATTTATTTAAAATATTTCTGATAATAATGCTCTAAGTCATCAGACTGTGTAAGATATTCCACATCCAAATAATAATGGATGGGGAAGGCAGAATAATGTAAATATTTTCAAACATATGGATATTTAATATTGAATAAATAAAATTCCTGGATTCTTTGGCTTTTCTTCTGAGTACTAAAACTATGTAGACCAAAATCTCACCATCTCTATATAGTCTTCACCTAAAACCCTCTATTTGGGAATCTGACATTTTGGAAATTATAGAAGACGTCAGAAAATTCCCCCTGAAGATGTATCTATATTACACAAAACTTTCAGTGATTCCTCTTTCAAATCTCTGCTCCAATCCACTCAAAGCAAACAGGTCAGTCTGGATCCACTTTTGTTTAGCCATTTTTATTGCAAAAACAATGCTGTAAGACTGCTAACAGAACCCAAAATAAAAGCAGGGGAGGATATAGCTCAAGTGGTAGAGCACATGCTTAGCATTCTTAAGGTCCTAGGTTCAATCCCCAGTACCTCCTCTAAAAACAAATAAATCAATAAACCTAATTATCTCCCTCCCCCACCCCCAAAAAAACTAATAAAAAAAATAAAATCAAAATAAAAGAAAAACAAACTGTTTATGATTCTACCCTTTTGACGAGTTAAACCCCCTTCTATTTCTTTATTCAAAGCTACAGATCATTTCATGGAGTTTTTTTTGCTGCTTTTCTTTTCACTTAATATTATGGTCTATATTCATTTCCACCTGAATCACACACACACACAATTACATACACTAATACACACCACTGTGTACAATGTATTTCAATTACTTCATCACAACCTTCACCACAATTAGGTTACAAATGGTACAGTGGTTGAAACGTAGTGAATACTTCATGAATTATTAATTGAATAAATGCAATCTTACGATTTCAGTCTTCAAATTTAAATTCTTTAATAATTTTGTTTCAAATGAGTTAAAGTTTGCTGTCATTTGTAGGTTATTAAAAGTAAACATATTAATAAACACAGATTTTAAAGTAAGATCTAAACAGAAAATGTTTAGCCCATTTGAGAAAAAAGATACAATGTAAATAATAAGCGTGATCCAATCTTTATACATAAATGACATCATTTATAAATAAAGTCCTATCTTCTCAAAAAGTATTCTACTAGGAAATATCAAAATAGTAATTTCAAGTCAGTGAATACGCCTCAAAAAATAATAAACTACATTCCTTAAATGTGTTCAGTGATCCCTTTTTTTTTGCTGGTTTGCACTGGTTCTTTACCTGCTTTTGGCTCTTCATAGGACTTTGAATAAATGGTTTAACCCTTTGCATTCTGGAATACGATCTGAATGACAGAACTTTAAAAGGTCTTTATAAAAGGCGTGCCTCCAAACTTAGCAGGATTCCTGAAGTGAGCTCTCTAAAAGGAGGGCTTGTTTGCCTAGCATGAAGCTTGGTCCATAGCAGGTCCATACATCTTTGTAGAAGAACAAACTAATGAACAAATGAGTGAGTCCTCTTTGTCCCTACCTTCTGCTACAATGCATTTCACTGAGCCCTGTGACACTGAGCATCCGAGTCCTCGTTAACAAATTCCTGCTGTTTTACTTGGAAACAGAGTGTAAGGACAAGGGGAAGAGTCTGTCTTTACCAGGAAGGTAATTATTCTCTGTTCAGATCAGCCCAGGGGTGATTAGAACTCCTTTACTCATGCCCTGCAGGGTGTGCAGAAGCTGCAGTGACTGCACTTGCAGATGAACTGTTTTCCATAGAAAGTCAATAACGGGGACACAGGCTCCCACCACCCGACTCCAAGCAATGGCTCATCATCCACTTCAAGAGAAGGAAAAACTTTATTTGCTTTTCCTAGCAGTGACCAATGAACATGAAATGCAATTCATAGATTTCAAATATGTCACTTCTCCTTTTTTTTTTTTGTTATTATTCCTTCTGAAAGCTCAACATGGTCAAAAACTAAATGCGTTGCCATTCTCTTTGACCTGCTCCAGAATCAACATATGACTACACAATCTAATTCTACAAACGGCTGCCTGGCAGCTTTCTGATCCTTCTAGGTATCTACTCAGGACATTTCTCCCAGAAGAATGCTCCTTCTATTTAGTTTTCCAGATTCTTTTTCCAGGTGTGTTGCTTGTGGAATTCCATTATGTACCTGTTTAGACAGGGTGGAGTTAATAATAGGCAGCTTCACCACCTCTAGGCATATACTGTTTCCCCACCATTTCTTTGATCCTAAAGCAAAGAGTATTTATTTTACATGTCGTTCGTCATTTGTTTGCTCATTTGTCTACTCCTTGTCATTCACAGGCTGGAATCAAGAAGAGGTCGTGTACTGGGGATATCTCTCTTGTTTTGCTCAAGGCTTAACTCAGATACCCATACCTCAGGTGCCTAATAAATATTTTCCATAATGACAATGACAAACAGCAACAGTAGCAATTGGGTACTCTAGTTATGGAACCACTTTATATTCAGTGTATAAGAGGCTATTTTCAAACCTCTGGCTCCAATATGTTTAATAAAAAAACAAAGTAAGCAAAATGTAATCAGAGCAAGCAAACAACTGGCTGACCAACTTGGGTGGAAAAGCTGCCCATTCACCTCTCGAGAGGAGCAATTATCCTTCCCAGATGCGTTGAGGGTGAGAACAGTAAGTGCTTATCAACTGGCAACTGTTTGGAGGACACCATTAGGGAGAGTTACCCAGGATCCCAGAATGATTCATGAAAGGAAATCAATGAAG